GTGTGTATGTGTATGTTAGACCAGTTTAAGTGTTTATGTAGTATGTTAGACTAGTTTAAGTGTTTATGTAGTTAATAAAGTCTTATTTGTATCACACTTGACGTTGTTCATTGTTTGCTCATAACTGGAGTCACTTAATCATGCAGATTTATGCTACAAGCTCTGTGTAGAATTGTACAGTAAGAAAGTAATTTCCCTTAACCAGGAAATTAACGTTCTTAGAATTGACAGACAGTTGACCCTGAGAGGTCAAGTAAATATCTACAGCGGATCTAAATATTTATAATTAATTATAACTAGTTACGATTAATTATTCATATTTCCCCATGAATGAGCTGATTCGCTACACTACCCTTCCGGAAAAACAGCATAAGTTGGTTTGCGGGTCCTAGACTCGCAACCTGAGAATCTGACCAACTAGTTAGCCAACTGGTAATAAGTCTTATTTTTTAGATTCAACTGAATCTACATTTTTATATACCCGACTTAAAAAAGTTATGACCAGTCTTTAAAAAAAAAAATTAGATGACTACATTTTTAAGACTAGTCTAAACAGTTTATGCAATCGGCCCCTGATGAAGAAACAATCTCATCTACATCTCGGATGGTCTGAGGGTGAGTACATTTCCAGCAAATTTTCATTCTTAGGCAAACTACTCCTTTTACACAGTGAACTCTGCAATCTACTGCTTTACAATATGCTTATCAACATAAGAATTCATCAGGTAAAGTAAAGAATATTTGAATGATACATTTATAAGAATATTACAACATCTTACCCACAAGATGACAAATATGATAGCCAATTGCTTTTCTGAGGAATACATGTATGAATCATTTTCTGTAGAGATGTTTAAATGGCTTAATTAGTGCTTGAATACCGCCTTCTGTTTGATGCGAGAGCCAGCCGATGTGTCGTACACATTACCTTCCATTTGCACCTGAAAGAGGAACGTCTGCCCTGCACTGGATTTGAAAGCAGAACGGGTTATTCATCCTCTCACCGTGCCGTTCCCTTTCCTTCACACACTGTCCAAATTCCCAAATACTGGCTCCTGGAATAAAATATTCTCTGCACAGTGAACAGAGGATAAATGTAAATTACTTTCTTGTTCATTAATTATGCTATAAAAATGTAAATTGCTCCAGTGCCAAAAATGCTAATGGGACCAAGATAAAAGCCTCCTTTGTCAAAGCAGAATGTATGAAAGATTCTGAATATTTCTTTTCTTTTTAAAATCAGGAAAAAGAGTGGGACATATTTGTAGATTCTGGGTTGACTAACACTGGCTTTTTGAAGGACCTCCTTTTTTCCCTTTTGAAACACACACACACACACACTGTTATTAGGTATTGGCTGCCAATTGTTTTCCCCTGCCCGTTAAAGTTCCTGTGTAGATTAGGCTCTAGATGTTTCAGGGGCTAGTCACACAGCCACTATGTTAAGACTGTCTTAATAACTAGTTTTACCAACTAGCAGTTAGCCAAGAAGTTATCAGTCTTACTTTTCTGATTCAAATTAGGCCAGTCTACCTTTTTGTGTCTGACTTTTGAAAAGTTATGACCAGTCTTGAAAAAAACAAATTAGATGACTAACTTTTTAAGACTAGTCTAAGCAGTTAATGCAAACGGACCCAGGTCTTGCATTTCCTCATTGCCACTAAAGAGAGATTGTTCCACTATCCACTGACTTATGTCACTGTGTCTAGTTTGCTAACACAGATTTGAAAG